GGGGTAACACTGGCTCTCCTCCAGTCCTCAGGCACTTCTCCTGTCCTCCAGGACCTTTCAAAGATGATGGAGAGTGGCTTAGCAATGACATCTGCCAGGTCTCTCGTGAGTGCATTCCATCGGGGCCCATGGATTTGTGGGTGTCCAGTTTGCTTAAATAATCTCTCACACAATCCTTCTGGACCATGGGAAGGTTATCCTTTCACCAGGATTCCTCTCTTACCTTCAGGGACTGGGATTCTTGAGGGCCGGCCTCAGCACTAAAGACTGAAGCAAAGCAGGCATTCAGTAACTCTGACTTCTCTGCATCCTCCGTCACCAGGACACCCACCTCATTCAGCAGCAGCCCCACATTATCCCTAGTCACCTGTTTGCTGCTGATGTACTTGAAGAAGCCCTTCCTGTTGTCTTTGACATCCCTTGCCAGATTCAATTCCAGGTGGACCTTGGCCTTCCTCATTGCTTCCCTGTATGCTCTGACAATGTTCCTGTATTCCTCCCAAGTGGCCTGTCCCTCTTTCCATATTCTGTAGACCTTTCTGTTCTATCTGAGTTCCGCTAGAATTTTCTTGCTCATCCATGTGGGTCTCCTGCCTCCTTTGCTAGGTTTCTTGCTCAGGGGGATGCACCGATCCTGAGCATGGAGAAAGTGATGCTTATATAGTGACCAGCTCTCTTGGACCCCCTGCCTTCGAGAGCCTTGGCCCATGGGATTCCTCCCACTAGCTCCTTGAAGAGACCAAAGTTATCTCTCCTGAAGTCCAAGGTTTTGAGCCTACTTAGTGCCCTGCTTCCTCCACAGAGGATTCTGAACTCCACCATTTCATGGTCACTGCTACCCCCAACCTTTACATCCTCAACCAGTCCCTCCTTGTTTGTCAGTACAAAGTCCAGCAGAGTGCCTTTCCTTGTTGACTCCTCCACCACCTGCATCAGAAAGTTATCATCGATGTTCTGCAGGAACCTCCGGGACTGTGTGTGCCTGGCTGTGTGGTCTTCCCAGCAGATGTCAGGGTGGTTGAAGTCCCCCGTGAGAACCAGGGCAAAGTAGTGTGAGACTACTTTCAGCTGCCTGTAGAAGGCCGCATCAACTTCCTCCTCCTGGTCAGGTGGTCTGTAGTAAACACCCACAACAGTCTCACCCGTATGAGCCTGTCCGAATTTTCATATATCAATATCCCCAAGTTATTCTCCGCTCAATGTCTTCACCATCCAGTCTGTACTAATATCGGGGATTTCCCCAACCCAGATGCAAAGGCAAAAAATCAAAACCAGGGAAATTATACATCCAAATCAAAAGAACACTTCTGTGCTGAAAGAAAGCATAAGAAATTTTCTTAAAGGAAGCAGGCTGAGAAATTAGTGAAAAATGAGGATCAAAAAACAGCAGCTGGGATACAGCCTTAGCTCACGTACACAATGCTCAAGGTTTCTGAGATATAGTAAAAAACGTGCAGACCTATTCCTGTACAGAAGAACACATCTGTATTTCTGGAAAAATAAGGTTTTGTCATGTTTTTGAGAAATCAAAAGAATGTAGCTTTCTGTATGTGAGAAATTTGTTGCCAACTGCAACCCTGATCTAGGATGTGACAGAAAAGAGACTGAGGCTTATGCAGCTGGAATTCTGTTCTGTGATGCACTGAGCAGAACTAAGGGAAAACTGTGAGTGAGAGGATGGTAAAGAACACACGTGTCTCATCATGTCTTCTCCCACCTAATACATTTGTGTCCAGACTTCTCTGCACAAAAATTCTTAAACCATTCTTGTTAAATCAGTGGTTTTGTTTTCCTCCTTGCAGACAATTAAATTCAGCCAAATCTCTGCACAGTTCCTTTGGGTTTCAGAATTTGGAGGGTATTTTGGAATTCCAGAGCAAACAGTGCCAAATTCGTGATAATATTTAATGGAAAAGAAGTATGACACTTACTGTTTTCTATTTTCAGGGAACAATTTTGTGCCCTTTAATTTCCTGCGTTCACAGGCCTTTTAGACCTAATTACAGGATACTAGTTAAATAACAGTTTGCTGTGAGGTTGTGGATACAGGATGTGATTGAGGATGGACAGTTCCACTGAAATCAAGAAGGTCTTCTCTGTGAAGACAGCTCTGTAAAATGCTTCCAGGTGCTGCTACTGGACCTATGGAAGTTTTCCACTGCATTGCCTGAACGCCGTACTACTGAACCCTTTGATTTGTGCAGAAAATGCCTAGTCCACTAAGTCTAGTTCAAAGGAACTCTCTGCTCTGTTTCATTTCTCTTCATTTATGTACTCCCCTGCTCTCCCATAAATGTATTTTTAGTTGTGTCCATCTCATCCTTCTGCTGTAACTTGCGATAACTTGCTATATCATCTGTTAACAATTTGCAAGTATCTGTTTCATGTCAAGGCATGTGAAAACAAAATCGGGAAAACATACTTCCTCAAAACTGACTCGCTGCATTGGCAGCCAGAATGTCCTCATGTAGCTGAGGTAAGATGCTTCTGAAAACAATCACTGGCAGACAGACTGAAAAACACGAATTGGCTGGTATAATGTAAGTATACCTGTAATGAAAGCTATATCTACCATAGAAGTATCTAATGACATAGAAGAGGGATTTCCTTCTCCTGGGAATGCTGGTAGCTTGCTCTCCTAGGAGTTAAAGGATTTCTGGAGTCAGGACAAAGATGTTTATTAACTGCCCAGAGGTGCCACAGAGAGGCTGAATGGCAGGTCACAGATGTATAAATGTCGTGATCTGGACAGTCATTACAATTTAATCTTATGATGTAAAACTATTACTGATTTGCCTTTAGTACTTAGGAAAGATGCTTATTTTCATGAAAGTAATGGTTGGAGAATGTGACAGTCTCCTGATATTTTATTGGCTTGTTGAGATAAATAATACAGAAAAGGTCATTGCAGAAATGTCCGAGAGAGCTTTCTCTCTCAGACAAATGTCTGCTTTCTGCTCATGTATGCGGCCTCCAAGGGCCCAAAAAGATAATGCTGTTGTCTAAATTTCTGTTGGTTCACATATCTTGCAAGTGTTTTCACACAGGCTCAGAAACACAGCTATGTAATCCCTGTTTTACTTTCACTTACTATCTTTTCCTATTAGCTGTATTTTGAGGCATGTCTAAACAATGTGTGATGAGCGCTTTTTGTAGGATTAAAGCAGGATGCCTTCATTACAGGCTATAAATACATCTCGAAAGACTGGGAAGACAGAAGTGTTTTGCAAACAACTAAAATACTGTATGCAATCATTATCAGCTTGTAACTGTGTAGCCCTGTAATAAAGTATTGCCATTGCTCATGACAGGCCATAAGCCTTGTGCTGAGTTTCCAAGGCCTCAGAACTGAAGCTTATCAGACTTGCTCTGTCTGAACAATTTTGCTCTGCCTGCAGCTTTGCTTTGCTTCGTTTAACTGTGACAACGGTTTCTCCAGTTGGCCAGTTTTCTACGGCTAATTTATTTTTCTTTTTCATCTTTGCATGGTATCATGATAGTTTTAAATAGGTAACAGTAACAAGCAGTTACACTGTCTAGAATGATATATCTATGACTCTAATACGATGAGGTAATGTAGAGAAAGGCAGGTCTGGTACGCCAGAGCCCTGAGAAGTGGAGACATGGGATACAGCATACATAGGCTGATGAGAGATGGGACAGAGGGTTGGCGCTGGAGACCTCACAGCTACAAACCTTTCACCAGTGGTCAGTTAGAGAAATACAGAGCTGGAGCTGGACACAACTGTTTTTAGGGGTAGCAAAGAAGACAAAGAAACTGTCTAATAATATGCGTCGAAGGCACTGCGTACAGTAAACTCAGCTGTAATGTGGAGCTGCAGGCTAGTGAAGGAAAAGCAAGATGTAAAAGTGTGTTAGCAAGCGTACAAAAGTAACTCCAAGTAGACTGTAGAGGGAGGAAGATGAAACCATCAACATGCACATCCTGTTCCTCCTGGTGGAGGACTCCAGATGCTGAGGCCTGACCGTAACACCCACCCCCTCACCCGAATGGGACCACTGACCTTGGAGTCTAGGGAAGGAGGGGACAAGGGTGAGCACAATACCGGGAGAACAGTAGACACTAAAAAGTGTGTGTGGAACAATTTTAGCTGTATTATTGTTACTATTGTTATTGTTATTATTATTGAAACTTTTCAGCATAGATATATCCATTCTCATTCTGTAATAATTACATCTGGATTAATAATAATTCTTGAATGAGGCTGTTAAGATCTCAATTATGCTAATAATATTTTTTACTGTATAAGTAAAATGTGTTGTAAATGAGGTTTTCAGTGTAACAAGCTTGGTGTACAGACAGCAGATTTCTGTCTCAAGAGCATACATTCCGTAGGAAACTTTGAGTTTTGGGACAACTCTTGTTATGGATGTGTGAATTTGCCGTACTCAGCATCTGGGAGGAATAATGCATTAGACTGTTTAATAAAGGTAGGATTGACACCACAAAAGTGATACTGTTATATCCCTCTTTGCAAAGCATAAAATATTCAAATCTAAATAAAGAATTTGGTTTGTAAAAAGTCATGCATTTTCTACTTTAATTGTAAAGCAAACAATTACAGCTAACAACGTTTCACACTACATATTTCAACCTGTATCTAATTGAAAAAGAAAAATTTGCCCCTCAGTTGTTTTTGATGGTATAGATGTTGGAGGGAGAATTTGCAATTATGTTGTATATGTATGCTAGCCTTCATTGGATGAGTACGTGATGTCTTTTTTCTTAAAACCTGATCACCAACTTTCCCTTGCTGACCACCAGTGCCTCCCAGACCTTCTCAGCAGCATGGCTACCTCGCTAGACAGTGCCCAGCATGTGCTGTTGCAAGCAATCAGCGCGTCCTGGGTGCAGGACTTTGCACCTGCCTTTGTTGAATATCGTCATGTCCCTGCTTGTCCCATTTCTCCACCTGAACCTGCCAAACTGCAGCCTTGCCCTTGGGCCTGTCCACTGAGGTCTCATGGTTTGGTGTTACCTGCAGAGTTGATGAGGGTGCACTCTGTCTCCTCCCCCGGGTTATCTACAGATACTACAGAGGACATGGTCCCAGGGCAGACCCGGACATACCGCACTCGTTAACAGCTTCTCGGTAGGGTACACAGCTCTACCTACTACACTTTGACTTAGGTTCCAGCCAGTGTTTCACCCATCTAATTGTCCAGATCAGGTACAAAAACTGTGGGAGACCGTGTCAGAAGCCCTATTGAAGTCAGTATAATACTATAGCTTCTTTTTCATGTAAGAAACGATTTTGGTATGAAAAGAACACTTGGGAAGTAGTTACCTGACAGTCCTAAAGGAATTCTGTATCAAATGCAAAAGAAAGTATTTAGATCTCCGAAGAGATGACGAGAGGAAATTTTTAGGCAATTTAAGTCTTAATAAGCCTCTTTAAAGAACTTCTTATGCTTGGAAAAAATGCTGAGAAATCTGAAAGACTATCTATTGGGAAGAATGTTTAGACTTCGAAGCAAGATTTCGACTACTGTTCAGCCACCATAAGGGCAAATTCAATAAGCTCACTGAGCAAGAGTCAGGTTTTTAACTTACTCCTATGATGTGCTACATGTGTGAATGAGGCATCTGGTCTGTAAGGAGAAAAAGGTTAATTCAGGACACAATTCAAGCTGTAGTAATTAAATATTGGTTACTGTGCTAAGATATGAATAATTAAGTCTGAATGAAGATAGCCAAATGTCGTATTCCAAACATCAAAATGATGGCCGCAGAAAAAAATCATGTGCACATTTTGAATACAGAACAGCTCTGTAAAATATTGTATGCGAACTAATGAACAAGTGACATATTTCAGTACTATGAATCCTCCCATGGTTTCCTTTTCCACTTCTGAATATGTCACAACAATTGCACAAAACCTCTAGGGCTAGGTTTGGACTATGGCAAAGATAGCCAAGGAGATGAGAACAATCATTTCTTGTACTACATAGTTTTTATAATGTAAGTACCTGCTTGTGTTCTGCAAAGGCCATATGCTAGTGAGAGAGAATGCGTGTGAGTGAGAGAAGTGCCTTTCTATCCACTTCCACCCCTTCTTTGCATATCCTTTATGAAGTTCAGATAAGTTTCTAAGTAGACTTAAACAATGGGATTATTTTAGCAGTCTTCCGTGTAGTTTTTCTGAGCTGCTCAATATTGTCTGCAGAGAAACTAAACGCAGCTTCCCTCTTTCAACAGGCAGATAAATTATTCTGCTTTTTATACATGGTGACATTGGAGATAAGGGTTAACGGTCTCTCTGACAGATCTAGTTATTTCTTGCATATTTATCTCACATAATACCTTCCATTTTTCCACAGATATGCTTTAGGATCACACAAACAGCATGGCTTCTAACATTTAAATGGCTTTCTGTCGCCACATTTTGTGACTCTGGTGCTTTGGCAGACCGAGATGTTGCCCCGGGAACATTCGTAACACCCTGAATGTTTTGCTATTTCTGTCCGACTGCCTTCTAGAATAAAGGTATTGCTACGCTCAGTTGTGGAGCTTCACATTGCTCAATGTAATAAGATTTCTGTGGTAAGCCAGTGCCTTCCTACTTCATTGTTAAGGGGATTTATTTTGTCGACTGGGCAGTTTTTGGGCTATATTCCCATTTCCATACTGTTAAGTACCACATGTCCATTTGAATGTTTTCTTGTTGCTGTTGCAAATCTCTTGTAAAGCCATTGAAATTAAGCAAGGTTTTAAAACAGAAAGCTGAATTTCATTAATGTTTTGGCTTTAGCTCTGCTTTCTGTGAGATCACTTTTTCACTACAGCTCTGCTGGCTCACAGTGGCTGCGACCCATCAGCATTTCCGGAACCTTTAGCAGGAAGGCTCACTCCTCCTTCTGTGGACATGACAGTGAATACTCCATAAGTGGTACGATCAGCTGTTTTGGTGAAAACAGCTGTGTTCTGCTGTAGCTTTGGATCACAACATCATATTTGTGGGAAGGGACCTCTGGATGTTGACATCCCTGAGGGACAGGATGCCATCCAGAGGAACCTGGACAAGCTCAAGAAGTGGGCCTGTGTGAAATTCATGAGGTTCAACAAGGCCAAGGGCAGGGTCCTGCAACCTGGGTCAGGGCAACCCCTGGTATCAGTACAGGCTGGGGGATGAAGGGATTGAGAGCAGCCCTGCCAAGAAGGACCTGGGGGTACTGGTGGATGAAAAGCTGGAAATGACCTGGCAATGTGCGCTCGCAGCCCAGAAAGCCAACTGTATCCTGGGCTGCATCACAAGCAGTGTGGCCATCAGGTCAAGGGAGGGGATTCTGCCCCTCTGCTCCGCTCTGGTGAGAGCCCACCTGGAGTTCTGCGTCCAGCTCTGGAGCCCTCAGCACAGGAAAGACACGGAGCTGTTGGAGCTGGCCCAGAGGAGGCCATGAAGATGATCCGAGGGCTGGAGCACCTCTCCTATGAGGACAGGCTGAGAGAGTTGGGGCTGTTCAGCCTGGAGAAGAGAAGGCTGCGGGGAGACCTTACAGCAGCCTTCCAGTGCCTGAAGGGGGCTTATGAGGATGATGGGGACAGGCTTTTTAGCAGGGCCTGTAGCGATAGCCCAAGGGGTAATGGCTTTAAATTAAAAGAGGGTAGGTTCAGACTGGATATAAGGAAGAACTTTTTTACAAAGACGGTGGTGAGACACTGGAACAGGTTGCCCAGAGAGGTGGTAGATGCCCCCTCCCTGGACACATTCAAGGTCAGGTTGGATGGGGCTTTCATCAACCTGATCTAGCTGAAGATGTCCCTGCTCATTGCAGGGGCATTGGGCTAGATGACCTTTAAAGGCCCCTTCCAACCCCAACTATTCTATGATTCTATGGCATTATTTGGAAGAACACTGCTCAAAACAAGGCCAACGTGTGGCAGTTCACATCCAGTCTCAGACCCAGCTTAAACAAAGCTCAGGCACAGCTTTTTAAAAACATGGCTGCCTGCTATCCTGCAGTAGGAGCTTGTTTGCCAGAGACTAGCGAGAGCTGGGCTGCTGCGCAGGGGTGGACGAGCTGGGAGCTGAGCTCAGCAGCGCCAGCGCGCTGGCCCCCGGCCATGGCCTCACGGCACCTGAGCCAGGGCAGTGCCAGCAGCCCAGCAGTCACCAGGTGACGAGCAACGTCCCAGGTCAAGCTGGGAAAACCTCACCATAGTTTGCCGGGTGGGAACAGGCTGGGACAGGGACTGAGGGCTCCAGGGGCAGCCGCAATGGGGCTCCTGGGGGGGGGGGGCTATGTGGGGGGGGTGCTTAG